GTTGCTTCGGTATCTCGAGCCCAAGTTCAGGTGCTGAGTACCACTAACATCTGAGCCCGAATGCAACAAGCCATGGCTTAGGGTGGTATCTAGATGTTTTAGATGTTTCCGCACGATCGAGGTCACGCAGCCAAGAGCATAGAGGCCGATTTTGTTACTCAGCTTTCTGTGCTCTGGGAACCCCAAATTCCGCTGCCTCGACATGCCTGCAGGTGCCAGCGGCAGAAGAGGCTCCTGGAGGACCCGGATGCCACAGGCTTTGGGAAATACGCACACATTATTGCTAAAGTTGAAGGTTTAGGTCTAGGGTTAGGACTGCCAGGACATAAAAAACCTCGCTTAAGGAAGGCACTACAGGTTGCACATGTTAAACTCACAAAGCGTGATTCTGGGGTTTCTGGAGATGCCGACGATACCCTCACCACCGAGTCCGAGCTCGAACGGAAATCAAAATCTGCAAGAATGCTCATAGTCCCGCTATGTCCCGCTGCTACAGACACTGGCATTGCTGCCTCTCTCTTCGAGGTGATGAGTCTTACTATCGCTACTACCTTTCGCCATGCTTCCGTCACTCGCATATTCATACTGTCGAGCATGAGTTGGGCATGCAGTGGAGAAGGAAAGCGTGTGAGGCTCTCAGCATCTGCCCATTCAATTGGCAAAGGCACCGAGCGCAGCGAACCACAAATCACACTCTGCCTAACTTCCTACAGAAAGAAACAACCAGCCGTTCCAGTCTCTCTGTGGCTAAAAAGCCCCCCCAGCAGGCCATTGTCGACTCGAACAAGTGCAACGACTACAGTGTAGAAGTCCGAATCTCGAAACCCTGGACAGCTCCGGAAGCCCCTCAACCCGCGAAGAGCTTCAAGTCTCCTGTGGGCACCGCTCCACAACCCTCCTGCGGAAATGCCTAGGCACAGAATCCCTCACTTGAGAAAGGCATCAAATGCCTGGTCGAACTGTCAACGCTCCTTGCTAGTCACTGCCTGAGCTACCACTCTACACAGCTCTACAACACAACAGCTTCACTCAGCCCACAGCACTCTCTGCTGGCTTCGAAAGCGAAACGTGCACAGCTGATGGGTCTCGTTTTTGCTGGGAGGTGGCAGGTTGACGGAAGTCTTGGAAGTATGTTGGTCTCAAACATCCAGAACACACGAAGCTTGCAGCATTTCTCAGCCTGAGTTGGAACATGAGTCAAAGCCGTAACGGCTTGCAATAGCTTCAGTGAGTGACCTCGTACTCGGTCAGACTTGGGTGAAGGGCACTGCGGCTAAGACATGTGCGGACAAATGTGCCTCTACGATCTGCTTGATGCAGCTGCGGCCAGCGACAGAGCCAATGACGAGATCGGCAGGACGATGCTACCAAAACCTACTTTTTGTAGAGGCCCCGTAAAAAATTCGAGATTAAAGTTTATGGTAAGAACCTACAAACCACAGTAGGTTATGGTGTCGGTAGCTCAAGGTAGCCGAGACTTTCGACCTTTCCTACCCTAGCTTCGTTACCGAAATTCCGTCTTTACATACAACCATCACCAAAGACGGATCAGCAGGTGCCGAATATAGGGGGACTTAACAAGTAGAACAGGAACTTGGGGTGTATAAGACTATGATTGTAATTATAACAAGGAGCCCAAAAACAGTATTGGTAATTACTTATAAACCCCTATATTACCACGTGAAGTGCCTTCGCGCAGACCTCGTGAGGGGACGAAGCCTGACATGCCACACTTCCTCCATAAGCTTCACCTGCCCATTGATGGCCCTACCAGTCCCTACCATCGCCCGGATGGTTTCTCGCTTCAGTCTCGAAGAAAGGAAACATAAACGCCCTCGTCCACCTGTGAAAGTCAAGCACCCTCGAAGACCCATTTAGAAGGCACACGTACCTGAGCAGTAAACAAACGGAGCCAGCCTGAACGCACAATTTAACCTTGACCCCAAACTCTAGAATCCCTATGCACCTAACCCTGCACAGTAACAGCCTCAAGCCCAGAACCCTAAGCATCTGGGTCCCATGATAATAACAAAATAACAACAATAAGACTATCAAGAAAGAACCGTGCTGCTGCCTTCTTATGGAGCGCCTGGAGGAACGTGCGCAGGGTGCGCCCGACGGCTAGGTGGACTGGCAAGACAGCTGGGCTAAGTCTTATCAGCTGTGGTATCCTAAACCCTAAACCATGCTTGGGCTTCGGGTTAAGACCATTTTCGGCTATGTGGCTCAGAGGTATGGGGTGAATAGCCTTCCGAGCTTCAGTGCGTCAACCACTGAAGACTAGAGGGTGTGACACTGTGACAGTGTCGCGTACTTCTGAACTTGGGCTGTTGTGTTTGGGGCTATAAACCCTAATATACAATTTCTAGGGACCCTACAAAATGGTAGGCTTTCGTAGTTCAAGGTACGGTCTGGAGTGCCTGGAGCTGGGGGTGTAGGGAGAAAGGTACTGGTAAGATCGGCGCGGTAATAACTAGACTAGGGCTTTGGGGCATGGTGTACTTTAAGTATAGGGACATGTTAGATGACTATAACAAGGGAAAATTCTTTCCAATCATTCAGATCCCTATAATCTACATGGTCAAGACTTTCCGAAGGTTTTGCTGTTGGGAGAGTTTGAATAGCTCGCATGATGTAGCCACTGAGGTCTCAGGATCGGCAAGCGAGGCATTGCCCAGATCTAAACCCTAAACAACCCTGAACCCTGAACTCGAAACCCTGAACAACCCTGAACCCTAAACTCGAAACCCTAAACAAGCCTGAACCCTAAACCCGAAACCCTCCAAGGATTCAAGCACCAAGGCCCCCTGTTGCACATCCACGGATGAGGCCTGCTCTCTGCAACACTGGCGTCCGCACCTGCCGACTCTTTCGGCTCACGGATTTTTGGGGGAATCCTCCATGCCAAGTGGATTCAAAGCCAACAGCCAGAACCGGCAGTGTTCTTGTTTTCGTAACCCGGCCAGAGTCCCTTACACCTTAACGCACCAGAACCCCCGCAGGCATCGCAGGAATGGAAGGCTTCGCTTACGCCCTGCATCCGCCTGCGGGTCAAAGTGGGACACGATGTGCACCTGACAGGCTCTCTGTGCGCTTAGATGCCCTGCTGCAAACCCGGCACCGACAATTCTTGGGGCCCCGGGCGCGTGTGTCATTTGCACTGAGAGGAGCGAGCAAAATCCTGAGATGCAGCATTGGCTCCTGGACCACTTGTGTCCGTGCATTGTCATTGTCACAGTCGTCCTCATCATTGTCATACGCGCCACCCATCATCATAAGCATCAGCTTCTTCCCTCGCAGCTTCATCGTCGTTGCCTCTTCATCATCTGGCATCACCACCAAAACAAGAATCAACATCGGCATCATGTTCTTCTCCCTCATCGCCACTGTCGTCCGCATGACCATCGTCATCATCATCATCATCATCATCAACATCATCGAAGCCGTTTCGTCATCATCCACATCATGGCCGCACACAGCCTGTATAATTGTTCCCAGTACTGCTACTCATACTCATCCTCATGATTATCCCTCACATCATCCGCACCACGCGCGTCGTCGACCTCCACAACGACAAGGAACGGAACAGCAGTAACAACGTAAAGGACCGCCTTGGCTACGAGAACTAGCTCAAGGATCTCATAAGCCGAAACGATAACAGCAAGAGCAAGTTGAGTCGAGCCACACTCGCTTTAGTTTGACGGATCTACAGCAGGAACATCAAGAGCCATACTTCTGACAGTCTCAGCCCCTGCGTCGAACGCAACACCAGTGATGCCAGGAGGCGCTGTCAGGCACAAATCCTGCGGCTTGTTCACGCCAACAGTCTCAGCAATGGCCTGAGACAAGTGTGAATCGTCAAGTTCTCCGATGAAGGACCCCTCACTCCATGCTCTCCCACATTCTCTCTCCGGAAACAAAAACAAGGAGGACACACCTGCACGAATAGGGACAGATCAGGCTAAGTTGGATTGCAAGCCTGAATAACGAAATCGTTCCGAGTCAAGTGCGCGGTAATGTGGAGCCATACCCAGAACCCTAAACCCTAAACCTAGCCCTAAACGCTGAGGCACGAGATCTTCCAAAGGGAAGGCCTCGGCACCGATCGAGGTGGCCATCGAGAAGCCACGGCTCACCTTGCAATCGTAACCTTGGGCGGCCAAGAGGAGTTTAATTAGGGTCTAGGATTTGGGCCTCAGGGTGCAGGGTTCAGGGTTCTCACAGGAAGTGTGGCAGGAGTCCACCGCAGAAACCGACAATTGGATTGACATCGGAATTTGCAGACTGAGTTCTACCGACATGGTCTCCTGTCGTCGATTTATCACTGTTTGCGCTCAAAAAAAAGGGGCAAAAGTCAGCAAGAGCAAAAACACAACATGCTCAGGACAACTTACGCAAGGCCAAATGAAGTGGAGCCGTTTCGTGCATGCTCCGTGCTCGGGTGTGCACGACCATCCCCGGATGGACGATGACAACAAGAAGTGGAGCTACACGAAGATGACTGCCGCCCCTTGCAACCACTGCTACAACCTTCGGATCCGACATCCTTGAAGTCGTGAAACGGTTGGACTTGAAATTTGGTAGATGGCTCTGGCAACGGCACATCTAGGCCACGGCTTTGCAAAGTCAATGCCAAACTCTGGCTGTCTTGCAGCCTTTTCCAACAATTCTTCCAGCCTTTCCCAAAACTCACAATAGCGCCCTAAACCCTACACCCCTAAGCCCTATAGACCTCCTGCACCTCTTGCACTTTAAGCGGAGCCTCGCAAGACCCACACAAGAGGGAAGAAAAGGCTATTCAAGGGCTGATTGATTGTCAGTAGCACGCTGGCACTGGAGAGTAGGTGGAGTTGAGGTAAGAGGCTGTCACGGTAATATGCTGTGATGGCCGGAACAGAAGATTCACAGACCACATACAGCATCTCCAACGGAGTCATGTCAGAGACGACGCCTTCAACAAGTTCCGATGCTTCAGCACCCGCCCGCCCCACACTCCGGCATCAAAGCCTCTGGCGGGCAGCAATGAAGTCGGAGGTGAAACGTCGTCCCACGGCTTTCTGGATCTCAGTGGCATCTTTGGTAGCAAGTTGTCAAGCATGGCAAAGTACGTTGGATTCCGCTGGATGCGTGCATGCCTTCTGGTTCCTACCATCTGCACTCCTTCAACGCTAGCAGCAGGATGCGCCATTTCGGGAGCTCTTGGCCACACACAATTCTTGGAAGAGGCATCTCGGCCACCTAACATCAAGCTGATGCAGTCAATCCGACAGAGCCGGGTTCAAAGCCCTGCCTGAGCCGCGACATCGATGGTGTCCCCCATGTCCCGGGCCAAATTGCGATAGCCCCCTTTCACCTGCATCTCCTGCCGAAGCTGTGGGTGCTTCGGCTTTTTGGGTGTGATAGGCTTTCTGGCAAAGCAGAAAACGCCGCGGCCGTATCAGAAAGACACATGTTTTGGGTTGGATCATTTAGAGCCCCAGGACAGCAATGGAGGCGGGTGGGTGCGAGTACGCGAAGTATGCCTTCCCTATAACTGTTACAAGTTTCTATACATTGCTATAATAATAAGTTCTTATGTATTATTATCCGTCTCAAGCACGAACTTGCCTCCGGAGAGAAGTAGTCTTTTAAATTGGCTTCGAGGGGAACACGCCGATGTCGTCGAAAGGTGACCTTTCCAAACAAACGCCCCAATGCAGCAGCGGAGGCTTCATTCCCCAATGCTCACTTGAGACAGCAAGGATATGCGACAAAATCGCTGAATGCAAGAAGCCGCTCGCAGTGGCGGGCTGCCAACTGCAATGCAATAGAATCAATCCCAAGCGCCGCAGCAACATGTCTGTTTGGAGAGCTCTGGCCCCCACATCATGGAGAGAAGGATTCCAGTGCCTGTAATCTGGGTTCGACAGAGCCTGCGAACAGCAGCATCCAAAACGCTCGTGAGGCTGTATAAGTCTGCAGTCGGAACAACATGTGGCCTAGGCCTAGGCTTTGCGGCATCTCCACTTCATCAAAAACATGTGCTGGTAGATCTCCTGGCGCAACCTGATGACCCCCAACCTCCATGACGTATATTGGCTCCACACCAGGAAGAACGACGTCCACATGCATGACGTCCTCATGACAGCCACGAAGACCGCCATGTTAAGCATTAGCGAGTTTACATCAAGATCCTGTAATGCGATTGACACTGGGAATTGGTTGGCCGCTGCGAGCTTCAAATCCCCACCGCTGTAGCAAGTGGTGAGCCGTCATAACCACGAAATCAGAATCATGAACTCGTGACTCAGATTCTCAGCTCAGGCTTTCAGCCCCGCCAATGTCGGAAAACTGTTTACGGCAGCTGGGGTTGGCGCTCGGATGCCAGCCCCACAGGCATCCACTTTGGAGGTTCTGGAGAAGTACCTTCGAAACCCTTTGGCTCTACAAGAGCTCAACATGATTCAATCGGCATGTATCACGCATGTACTCTTGCAACCATTGGAATCTTGTGTTGCTGCTTCACGCTCCAGCGCCTTGAAACACTCACCAAGCTCTGTTGGTCTGCGTCGAGCCTGTGGGGAGATATTATATCTTATTATATTACGTCATATTACATCATATTACATTATGCTATATGCTTTAGGTTTACGCCGCCTGCGGTTTTGGGATTCGCGCTTCGTCTTTCACGAACAGTTAGTCAATAACACTCAGCTTGTTCCTTTGCAGGACTTTACTAGCTAAATAGATGGAGGTGAGTTGGGCTTCAATTGGCAAAAGCTTAAGTTCAGCGAATGATCTAAGGTAGCATCGTAAGAAGTAGAGTAGGGCTTTGGTGGGGGTATACTAAAGTGTAAATATGCGCGGAATTTAGGCGGATGCGATAGAACCGGCTAATTATTCAAACCCCTCTGTTGTGGTTTAGGTAGGGATTGAAATCCTGGCTAAGAGCTCGTAGCTCTCTGAGCACACCAAGGCAGGCCTCTGGGCCATGCCCCAACCAACATGTATCTAGCACACGCAATGTAACATAACATATTGTCATAGACTATCGTTGCTATCATAAAATCTAACCTAATCAATCTAATATAGTATACCGTTATAATATAAGATAAGAGAACTTAAGACAGCAGAACATAACCAATCCGAACACAACGCAATATATTTATGAAGTGATATGATTTAAGATGACATAACACAATGTATTATAATGTAATATATTCATCTAGTACAGTAGTAAAGTGTAGTAGAATTTAGTACAACATAGCATCATACAGCCGACTATGATGTGAAAGTATATGGGTCATGGAATCCGACAACTTCCTGCCCTCCCTGGCAGATAGGCCTCACTGGCTCGCGTGGGACGAAGGTCCCATCTTGCGCGGCCCAGCCCGCAGCGTCGAGGTACTGCAAGGCGATAGGCATCAAAGGTCTGACGGCTGGGGGTTTGGGGCTTAGGGTTACAACTCCAAGCCCCAACGAGGAATTCGAAGAGTGAGGTCGAAGCATTGGCGAAACCCAGTGCCTCTGTGCCTAGCTGAAAAGCTTCCAGGTAAGGCTTAAGGTCTTAAGGTCATGCTGCTGGGTCCAGGCTCTGGGCTTAAACTGAAGAAGGTGTTTTGATCAGTGTTTAGATGTACGGTTTCGCGGCGTCTACACTGCCTACACCTCAAGAAACGACTTAAAAGAGGAGCCTCCGGTATCACCCCAAGCTGCCGCATGAAAGGAGCCCACACTTTAGCAGCGATGCTCCATAATGGGGCTTTAGCATGGCTTTAGCTCAGGGAGTCAGATTTTCAGATGCTTACGGTTCGTGGTTGGGGATTTAGGGGCTGTGAGTGGTGCCGGGGGCATTTCAGAAGAGTGAGACTTCGCCAGCCTCTGTGGTGTCCATGAACATGCGCAAAAGACTTCCGACCTCAGCACACGAGATCCCAAGTGCATGTGTGTGTGTGTATGTGTATATATATATATACATATGTATCTATGTATGTATGAATGCATGCATGTATATGTACATGTAAATGTATATGTATATGTATGTGTTTATGTATATACACATATGTATATGTATACACGTATATATGTATATATATTTTTTTAGTTATTTATATCTGTGTGAGTGTGTGTGCGTGTGTGTGTGTGTGTGTCTGTGTATATGCGTGTGTGTGTGTGTACTTAGTTACTTGTGGACATAGGTGTAGACATATGTACATCTGTACATTTATATTTATATATACATACCTATATATACATTTATATACATATATATATATGTGTGTGTGTATGTATATACACACTCACATTATTATAGTGTGGCCTGCGTTGGGCAAGGATCCCAGCACTATCGAATCCTGGAGAGCTTAATCTGGAGAGCTAAGACCGCAGCTGACAAGGTGTCTGGATCAAAGCGATCGCTGTATTCATTGGTGGTTCGATACGCCACCTCGGTATGGCCAAGCTGGCCAAGCTGTTTAATCAGGGTAGTATATCATAGTATATCGAGTGAATTACACCGTATAAAATCGGTATATTATTATATCGTGTAGCACATTTGGGTTTAGGGTTCCTGGTTGCAGGCATTCGCACAGATCCTAATGCGCCCTTCTCAGAAACCCTGAGTTGCGAGCACTCACGATCGCAGCAATTCCGACACCCAGCCTCAGCAATGCGAACACTTGGCAGACCAGTGAGAAATCTTTAGGTTTGTTTTGGGGTTTAGGGTCCCAGGGTTTAGGCTCCTAACGCTTTACACTTTAGCCCGAACCCGCGGAAACGCGTGATGCGAGGCTAGGAGCAAAGAAGTTAAGGGACCGATGGCGCCTTCAAGAAGGTCCACTCCACTCCGCACCAGAACATAACGAAGGCCCATTTCTGAGCCTCAACAACTGATTGCCAGCACCTATAACATTACTCCCGAACGCCAGACCTCCAAGGTTTCCTTGTTCTGACCTGAGGACTCCAAAACCCTAAATTCCTAAACCCCAACCTCCTAGACCCTAAGCGGTAAGCCCTAAACCCTAAACTCCTAAAACCCTGAAACCCGAAACCCTAAACTCCGAACTGAACTCCTTAAACCCTAAACTCCCGAAACCCTAAACACCTAAAACCCTAGACCCCAAACTCCTAAAAACCCTAAACTGCCAAAACCCTAGGCCCTAGACTCCTAAAGCCCGGCACTCCTAAAACCCTAAACTTCTAAACTTAACCCACTCACCTGGGCCTTGGGCGCAAAGAGCGCTCCACGTCTCTTGGACCAAGCAGGTCTCAGCGATGCTTTCGATCTTCTTGGGCTTAGTTTAGGGGCTTTTGCTTTAGGACTTTAGGGTTTAGGGCGTGAAGGTTCCCTTATCATGATCCTCACAGTACTATTGTCCTTATTATGATGATCATCATCATCAGCAGCATCAGTCCTACTTTGAGGTGCGAGGGTCCGGGTTAAGGCTTCTAGAAAACATTCACAGGTGGACGCACGTGCCGTAGAAGAAATGTTCCAACAGATAATCAGCAACTCAACTCGCGAAGGCTTCATCAATATGCACTCCTTCTTTGAATCGAGGGTTCCTGTAGTTGGCACCAAGTAGACCCCAAACCTGACAATATTTAGGAACCCTAAACGCTGAAACCCTACGTGCTGAAACCCTACATCCTAAACTCACACTTGGAGTTATCAACCTGGGATCTTCGACCGGGACGTCGCGTCCGGAGCGTTCGGACTTACGAGGCTTTGGCGTGAACCCGGTGTAGAGAAACAACCCCAAACCCCTAAACCCTAAATTTTTCACCATAGAGCGAGGGATCCCCAGCAACCTACGAACAACAAGGGCTCCTTTTTGTGGTATTGAATAGATTTGCAAGGAACCCCAAGATCAGAAAAAGGGAAAAAGGCCTACTGAGAGACCTGTTAGAAAGTATATGTACGGAACTGCGGCCTCAGTTATCTTCGCAACATGACTCGGCTTGGACTTGCGAACTCTGCGGTGGAGGGGCTCGGGCAAACATAGATAAGAAGTCAAGACAGAGCAGGCCTCTTGAAATTCAATGGCGACAGATCCTCCATGGTCGGGGCGCATGCGCGCTCCTTCGACCCTCCCGAGCTGTCTTCTGTGTTAAGCCCCTTACGCAGGCAGTCGTCTAGTCACTAGGAGTGTCTAGTCTAGTCGTCAGCGATGCTTCATGACGGCAATGGACCAGGCTGGCTGAGGGCGAACGGGATTTTTGTGTCACTGCCCGGCATGTTGTATGGGCGAGAGTGCTGAGACCCATGAAGCCGCTCCAAAAGAAATCTCATATTCTATACACCTCTTACGCTCAAAGCCCACAGGCCACGGCACAGTTGGCTGAATCAACATTCGCTCGCAGTTGCAATCCTAGAGTCCTAGAGGCGGTTACGCAAACATGCGGCAAGCTGATGTTCTCACTTGATTCATACTCGGCTTCTACCTACCAACCCAGTGGACTTGCAAAGCGTTCTGAAGCTGGTACGCACGCGTCTTTTCACAGAGAAAGCGAGCAGCCGCGGGCTGCTCACAAGCCTTTCTTGATCTCCATCTTTTGGTGCGAGCCGCTTATGCCCTGACAAGAACGAGGCATAGTCACCGTACGATGCACAGCTCCTCTTGCGCGGCCTCGCGCCTCGCAAACGTACACCGGGAGGTTAGCATCTTTGCTCACAGAGCTCTTCGAATCGGGCGCAACCACCTTGCGCTTTGCCTGGCCGAAATTGGGATCTGACGCGGGCTCCTTTTGGAGGCGCACCCTGTGAGGAGAGGAGGGAAGTTTTCACCAACCAACCAAGCTTCCATGGAACTGCGATGGCCTCCCCTTCTGCCACGGACTCGGCCTGCTCTGCCAACCTTTCCAAGAATGTCAGCTTGATTCGAGCTGCGCCTTTAATTAAACGTCTGCTCTGAATATTTTAACAATCCTAAAACCACCGGATCTTCACAGGGCTGCTGCGTCATGCAAGAAAGAAGGGGGAAGCGAAACCCTCTGAGCCACCGAAGCTATGCACTTCGGTTGTGATGTGGTTTGAAGTTTGCTCAAGGCTGCATAGCCTGCCTGCGACCCACTTCGGATGTCAGGGCAGCCTGAGCAGGCAGCTTCCGATGGGTTGCATGCTATGTGCCAAAATATGATATGATATGGTATGATACGCACATTGTGATATGCATAGTGCTAAGATATGCAGAGTGGACTGTGCGGATGGAGGGCCGGAACGTCTGCTAGTGGATCGTGCATGATTTGAGGCCTGTGATGCTTGTGATGCTTCCGAACTCTCTGGACAAGTCAAGAAAGGAAAAGAACACTGCCAACACTTCACCAAAGAGTTGAATTCGCCGGTTCAGAACAATGGATCAAGAACACGAGGGCACGAGGACTCCTTTAGGAAGTCCCTCGAGCGAGCCTCCGCCACATCTGAGGGCACGCCAGGTTCCTGACACCGCTTCAGACGCGTTTGCTATCAGAGGGCAAACCCTGTTTTGCTGTAGCACTGAACGGCTAGCACGTCGCGGTGCTTCTGCAATGAAACTTCACGGTGCCTTGCCCGAAGCTGGGTGCGGGTTACAGACTGCAGAATTCTGAAACGTTGAGGTCCCCTGGCGGTGACTTCTCGGGAGTTCAAGCCGTCAGGAGCTGCAATCCGTCAGCTCACACCTCCCAAAATGCTGAGCTTTCGTTATAGTCAATTGCTGAAATGTCTACAACCCTTCTTAGCCCCATCTATAGTCAATGCTGCAACAAGAGTGAGCAAGGGAGTCCTTCAGAATTTCCAGCAATGCCGTGCACAATGCGCGCTCCATGCCTCTCGGCATTGGGGGGGAAGGTCTTCAACTACTCTGTGGGGTTCCATGGGTTCAGGGTTTCAACTTTGGAACATCGCTTGTCATCACATATTGCTGAGCTCGAACTCTTCTGACGGCAAGCACGGGTTGAGAAGCAACCATGCTCGCTCCGTGAGACCTTACTTCGATTTCCTGGAACTCCGAACACACTTCAACAGCCTACATCAATCGCAGAGCCTGGGATGGCATCGAGGGAAATGAGGTCGCTGAACTGGCCATGGACCCAAGGGATGCGGAGAGCTTCCGGACGATTCGTTCTACATAGCCCCCTGCTTCAAGCAGCAGCACGACTGAGAATGATGCTTGTGAGTATTCAAAACATCCAGCGGCAAGTAGTCTGATTAATCAAGAGCGATCAGACGAGAAGAGCAGCCGAAATATAGGCGCCTTAATGATCAGAATGAGGCCTTGGGGTATAGTAAAGCAACGCAGCGGGTAGTTGTAGCAGGGAAGCCAAAGGAATAATTTTCGTAAATATTCAGGCTCGTATATTGCAATTCGGCTGCTGCATTCTCAGGCTCAGGGTTTGTTGCAAGCTGTTGGGAGTGTGCAAGTATATGGTTCGGTGATTTGGGTTCAACATTCTTTGCTGGCAGAGCTCACACCGAAGTTTACCTTGAGTCGCTTCTGATTCTTCGGTACTTGATTTGCAAAGGTCAAGTTTGTCCTCTGTTTGGGTGATGAGCTGAGTCAGTTTTCCGCACAAACAATCCGCTTAACACGACATATAAGGAGCACTGCCCTGCGATCGCTTCTTTGAAGTGTTCGCGTTGGCAGCATGACGGGCCAGTGGCTGGGAGCTCCTAGCCAAAGCTCTTATTCTTTCTTTCTGTCGTTCTTCGTTCTTTCTTTCTTTCGCAAGGCTTTGGGTCGAGTACGACGCGCACCCGAAACTGGGCACTTGTTAATGATATTAAGTTAACTTACCAGAACAAGGAAACCATACTATCCACCATAGATCCCTATTGTGGTAACTAACCTAAATGAAATTCCTTAACAAGAAACCCGCAAAAGGATGTCCTCACCCTTGAAGCCCTGAGGTTTCCGGCTTCTGATGGGCCTCCATACCCTGGCTGAGGAGGCGAAGCGCCATCTCCGACACCATGGGTGCATCGCGGACCCCTGCCTGCAAGGGCAGAGCTCTGCTTGGCGTGGAGGGCACAGAGGGAGACAGAGAGTGACGGCAAGAGAGACGGACAGAGAGTGAGGGAGAGACATTCAGCACAACAGCCAAGCGGGCAGGCAAGCAGACGGGCACGGATAGGAATGGAGGGAAAGAGAAGCAAAGACGGCAAAAGACGGTCAGCGCCACAGACAAAGAGCAGAAAGGGCTTTGGGCTCCGTATTTGGGGCGGCTTCGAAAGGAGCGTGAATCGGTTTCTGGCTTGAAGCCCCCGCGGTGAGGTTGCTCCCTCAAGAGTCCGAGCAGTGCGGATCTGGAAACTATGCTTGCAGCTGCGGGTCTTGTACTTAGAAGGGAAGCCATGAACCGGCAACGGAGTGGCAGGAGCCACCTACCTGGAGATTCAAGTCATTACAAAAACGAAAACTAGGGCCCATGGCCGAAAAACATACAGAAGATTATGCTTTCGACTAAACCTTAAACCCGAAGGCCTAAACCCTAAGCCCCTACGCCTCAACCCCAAACCCTATATGAACCTTAAGCCCCCATGAGCTTTTCTTCTTCAACTCGATCGCTGCAGTGGCTCAGTCGCGGTACAGCCTCTTGTGTCTGTAATGGTGGGTGCAACACGGATGCAAGCCGGCAAGCATATTAAATCGTAATGAGACAGTAGCAACTGTAAAATCATCGCAACAGTAATAACAATAACATACTAGCGACAATCCTACAAGCAGTAACAATAATAGTAAACAATAACACAAGCAATAACAATGGTTATAAACCCAACAATAGCCAGATAAGATCACTGGAGCATCCCTTCAAAAGTAGGCTGACTCAACAGGTCCGCTCACAGACGGCTACGCTCCTCCAAGGTGCTTCTCCTGTGTCTTCTAGGGCTCTTGGGATTAGGCTTTAGGGATTATAGGGTTTAGGGATTAGGGATTAGGGTTTCGGAGGCTTGCGGTGCTAGGGCTTGGGGGATCGCTGCAACGTGACGTTGCGGCATAGGAACCAACTACATGGCTACAAAGCAAAGTGTTCAAAGGCCATCCACACAGAGACAGACCGAAACCCACGAAGGTCTGAGTAAATCAGCCCGAGTCTCAGAATCCGAGATGCCGCGCTGGCACCACCCTTAGCATCTGCTGCTCGGGCTTGCGCAGTCTCCTGTCAGCTGTGCTGCAGAGTAGTGGATGGAACGGTTGTGTTGTATGCCTACGACAACAGGAAAACCCTACTAGGCTACATTACAACTATAGACCGGTCAAAATTATGTGTACATGTGAGTATTGTGCGATTGTAGGACTTTCTTGCATGGGTTTGCACGGTGCGGTTACGTACAAGGGCTGCAAAGTACTGTGATTGTTCACTTGGCCGATGCAGGCTTTGGAAATAAAACTGCGGCTTTTCATGCCACAGCCAGGTGCCATGAGAGATTTCCGGCCGCAAGCGCAAGACTTCACAGCATAGAGTCCAAAGCCCCTAAAGTACCCTTATAGAACCCCTCAAAAATCCTCTGGGCACCCCCCAAAAGAAAAAGTCCTTCTGCAAGCCGCCGTGAAACTCTCCGGACACCTTCCGAGCTTCATAGGGTTTGGGGGTTTAGAGGTTCAGGGTTTCGGGTGTAAAGGTTTCGAGTTTAGGGTTTCGGGTTGATGTTTGCGGTTTCGGGTTCAAGGGTTTAGGGTTTCGGGTTTAGGGCTTCGGGTTTAGGATTTCGCTTTGCTTTTTGTTTTGTTGTTGTTTTTTTTTTTACGGGCCCTTTAGCTGATCGGGAGGAGCCAGTGTTACGGTTGGGCACAGAGGTAGGTATAGGTAGGTTTAGGGTCCAGGGTTTAGTTTAGGGTGTCGCATCTAGGGCTGTTGCTTGTCTGGGGTCCACGGTTTAGGGCTGGAACTAAGGACCGTAGTAAGCCTTTTTACTGGGGCCTTAACAGTTAAAGGTTTTGCATTACATATTACATTATGCTGAAATTTCAACACGGCCGAAAAGGGATGTTGCTGACTATTCCGACCCTAGTATTGTAGTACAAGTACCCCTTGTCTTTTGGGACCTGTCGGAACTGTCGAGCGGACGGACGAATTTAAACC